GGTTAAAGATCTAGAACTGAAACTTGAATCCTTGAACCATATGAAAGAAGAATTGGAAAGTCAACTTGAGAAAAAGGGTACTGAAATTTCAGAACTCTTACTTCTGAGTCAAAGTCTGAAAGACGAAATTGAGAGCAAGTCAAAAGATCAAGCAAAGACCTTGGAAGAAAAGGAAAGCCATGAGTCAAAGGTCAGGGATCTAGAGTTAGAGCTTGGATCCTTGAACAGCCTGAAAAACGAATCAGAAATGGAACTCCAGAAAAAGTGTCTTGAGATATCAGAACTAGTAATCCTGAGTCAAAATCTGAAAGAGGAACTTGAAAGCAAGTCCAAGGATCAAGCGAAGACCCTGGAAGAGAAGGGAGGCTACGAGTCAAAGGTCAACGATCTAGAATCAAAGCTTGAAGTCTTGAGCAACCTGAAAAATGAATTAGAAATGCAACTCGAGAAAAAGGGTACTGAAACTTCAGAACTCTTAATCCTTAGTCAAAATCTGAAAGAAGAAATTGAGGTCAAGTCAAAAGATCAAGCAAAGACCTTGGAAGAGAAGGAAAGCTTTGAGTCAAAGGTCAAAGATCTGGAATTGAAGATTGAATCCTTGGAGAAGCTGAAAAATGAATCAGAAATGCAACTAGAGAAAAATGGCACTGAAATTTCAGAACTCTTAACCCAGAGTCAAAGCCTGAAAGAAGAACTTGAAAGCAAGTCAAAAGATCTAGAGAAAACAATGGAAGAGAAGGATAGCTTCGAGTCAAAGGTCAAAGATCTAGAATTGAAGCTTGAATCCTTGGAAAAGCTGAAACATGAATCAGAATTGCACCTTGAGAAAAAGGGTCTTGAACATTCAGCACTTACAGTCCTGAGTCGAAGTCTGAAGGAAGAACTTGAAAGCAAATCGAAAGATCACGCAAAGACCGCTGAAGAGAAGGAAGGCTATGCAACAATGGTCAAAGATCTGGAATTGAAGCTTGAATCCTTTAAGAACCTAAAAAATGAATCAGAAATGCAGCTCGAGAAAAAAGTTACCGAGATTTCAGAACTCTTAATCCTGAGTGAAAGTCTGAAAGAAGAACTTGAAAGCAAGTCAAAAGATCTAGAGAAGACAATGGAAGAGAAGGAAGGATATGAATCAAAGGTCAAAGATCTGGAATCAAAGCTTGAATCCTTGGAGAATCTGAAAACCGAATCAGAAATGCACATCACGAAAAAGGGTCTTGAACTTTCAGAATTTATAATCGTGACTCAAAGTCTGAAGGAAGAACTCGAAAGCAAATCAAGAGATCAAGCAAAGACTCTGGAAGAGAAGGAACTCTATGCAACAAAGGCGAATGAACTCGAAAAGGAATTGGCTTCTTTGGTCAGTTTGAAAGAAGAGTTGGCGAATCAATTCGAAAGTGAAAAACTAGATAATCTTCAGTTACAAAAACAACTGGAAGATAAGATTCAAGAACTCGAAACAGTTTTTGTCGAGAAAGACGAAAAACTTTCAAAACATGAGAATGAAGCTTCAACTCAAATTGCATCTTTGACAGAACAGATCAACACTTTGCAAAAGGAGATAGATTCTCTAAGTGCCCAGAAAAGTGAAACAGAGTCAAAACTGGGGAAAACACTGGACGAAAAGAACGATTTGGAGCTCCAGATCGAAAGAAGCAAACAGGAGTATTCAGAAAAGTTGGCTGAATTGGAGAACCAGAAACTTGAGCTAGAAAACAAGATCGCAAGCCAAGAGATCGCCATAAAGTCACTAGAAGATGCTTCTAGCAAACAGAACGAAGAGCAAAAAAGACTGGAAGCTTGCCTCCAAGACGCAGAACGGAAAATAAAAGAAATGGAAGAAGAGATTGAAACAGTCACCCAGTCGAAAAACGAAACTGTTGAACAACTGGAGGAAGCCATTGAAGACCTCAAAGGAGAGCTAGAAATCAAAGGAGACGAAGTGACAACTTTAACAGAAAACGTGCGAAACCTGGAAGTCAAAATCCGGCTTGCAAACCAAAAGCTTCGCGTAACAGAACAAACGTTAAACGAGAAAGAAGGTGATCACGCGGGCAAAGAAGAGAAACTGCATCAAGAAAACAAATCACTCATAGAGAGAATCTCCACATTATCCGAAACCATTTCTAGTTACAAAGAAGCCGAAGAGAGTGTCAAAAGGGAGATCTCAGAGAAAGCTAACGCGATATCCGGTGGCATGGATTCACTCACCGTAAAATTCGAGGAAGATCATGGTCATATATCGACACAGATATACGAAATCTTGAACGAAATCCAAGTTACCAAGATTTCAATTAAGACCATGAGGTCCGAAAAAGATGATCTGAAAGAAAAGGTGGCAAAAATCGCGATACAACTGAAAGCGGTCGAAAACGAGAAGGCGAAACTGCAGAAATCCGTGGATGAACTGGAACAGAAAACGAAGGGAAAAGACAACAAGATCAAAGAGCTAGAAAAGCTGGTTCATGTGAGAGATGAAGGCTTAATGGATCTTGGAGAAGAGAAAAGAGAAGCCATAAGACAACTGTGTATGCTGGTTGATTACCAACGTGACCGTTATGATGAACTCCTATCCAAGAAAACCAGCGTTGGAAGAAGGCAAACCACAAGGTAAATAGTTATGATTTTTATTTCTATTTCTATTTTTATTTTCATTTTGTATTTTATTTAAAATTAATTTGGGTCACATGTCCTTTTGTGGAGTATTATTTGGTTTCTATCTGTTTTGGTAGATTATATTGTGTACATGAAATTACTTGTCATTTCCTTGTGTCTGTATCTTTATATTGTTTATTCATTCAGACATTATTTTGGACATTATATATATGCTTATGATGGTTGCATTTGTTCTTTTTTACTATTTGTAGAAAATGCGAGTTCTCCTTTGGTTTACAGTATTTAATACGTTCTAATCTTACGTTTGGTTTGAATGAATGTTTGGATTTAAAATTCTACAAACACGGTATTTCAAAATCTGATGAGAATAGTTGGTATTTCGCAGGATTTTATAAAATTTGTTTATAATAATGTTTTAGTATATGTTAAAAATATTATGTCAAACCAACCGAGCTCTAAAAACATCTCCAACAGATTATTTGACAGAGACTTTGAAGTTTATAGCTTTTTTTTTTTTTTTAATGGATTTTTTAAAAATTTCTCTAAATTAGAAAAAAATCTATGAATTGAAATAATTCATCAAAATTAATTGGTAAAAGAAAATTAGTTTCTCTATTTTTCTTACAGTAAGCGGCCGTTTACTAAACACTAATTACTTGGTAAGTGCTTAATGCATAAATTTCCTCATCGAATGAAATGAGAAAGGCTAATAATCTTACCGGGTAAGAGCGATGAAAATGATGGAGAGTCTTACCCGGTAAGTGAGGATGACGATTTTTATCCAGGTAAGCGCTTACCTAGTAAATTATTGCATTCGATATGCTTTGATGTACTAAAATCTTACGAATCTAAATAAATTATAGTGTTGATTTCTATTATTAAACGCTTTGAGGGTAAACATTTAGATAAACAGTCCCTAAATTAGATTATTTGATCATTTTATATGAAATTTATTTGGAAACTTGTCAAGATATTGTATTTATTAAATATTTTAATAATATATTGATGTTGAAATTTTAAAATGAAAATTTGTTGGAAATAAACATAATTTTTTTTAATGATTCCAAATTCTTTTTTCTATTTTAAAAAATTATAGATAATATATTGGGAGACTAGAAATGTACATATTACCTATTTATACGAGCCTTTTATAATGAACACATTCATGAACTTCAATGATTATTAAAATATAAATATTGTTGAAATATAGATGGTAATAGTCTCTAAAATATCGAAGCACGAGAAAACGATTCATGATCCCCATTTATTAAAGATCGCTCGTTTTTGGTTGAGGATGTTGATCACACAATAGACACGCTTGGTTCGTTAATCGTCACAAATTCCACGTAAAAATAACAATAAATTGATGGATTCAGGCATATAATTTTCATAATAAACTTTTAAATGATTTAATGATATGGTTAGTGTTTAAAATTCTTTATTTTGATCTAATATTGGCCTCTTTACGTTATGTTTGACAAAATAGCTGATAAGTTATTTGTTAACTGAGAAGCTGACTGTTAGCTAAAAACTAATTATTAGGTAATAAGTTACTCATTAGTTGATAAACCAGTAATGTTTGTTAAAAATAACTGAAGTTAAATGACAATTAAGGATTGAAAGAGGGTAGATATTGGGTGACTAATGCATCTCTCGACCCCGACTAGTCCCCAAGAGGTTGGCGGGATGGGTTTTAGGTACCCGTTTCGTTAAAAACAATAAAAAAACATTGTTTCTTCAAATAAAAAGTACAGTTAATCATCATAAAATTAATTACCAGTATTGAAAATCAAGCAGTCAATCAAAGAGCACTGACTGCTATTCCATAGATAACGTAGAGCTCTTACACAACGCCTAATAGGCTAAATGAACTATAAAGGATGAGTTTATATTTCTTGTATAATTATAAAGATATATAGATATATTCATATATACAATATATATATATATATATAAACATATTTAACAAAATAAAAGTTTAATTGTGACCGTATCAGGAGTGGTATTCCCGACCCCACTTCGAGTATGAAAATAAAACCTAGTCCCCGCCTGATTACCCACCAAAGCAGGGACTCATCGCCTCGTTAGTATTTGGTACCCGTGGAAATCCCTCCCCAAGGGTCAAAGTTCCGTCTCTATGACAATGTAAACTAACCTAAAAATAGAATATCTAGACAAAAAAGTGCAAAAAAAAACTTGTTCAGTCTATTGAAATGCAGTTTGAAGTAGTTTTTCAAAAGATAACACATAAGCTACTTATATGTCACGTAATTGTCTTTATAAGCTTGCGTGGCTGACTTAGTTCTCGAACTACGTCAGCCAAACTACAATAATACTGAATAGGATAAGCAAACAAGAATGTTAAGATGATTGAAAGAACTCTTCTATTACATTACTCAACTTCTCTACAGTTGATTTGATGAATACAAATTAGGGTTTACCATCTGTTTATACTACTCTATGAAGCAATCTAGAGAACCTGTCCAGACATGTGTACTTGATTCCTATTGAATCTTCTTAAAGGTTCCTTCATCCTTTTGACTGGTCTAAATATCTACGTAATTTATAGATATTCAAACAAAGTTTTTTCAATAAATTTTAAAAATAAAATAATTTATGGTTATAAAAGATGATCTTGGAGCAGCTTCAATTATAATATTTAAAATAAAAAAATAAAGATTTTTTTTTGATAAAAATTGTCCAAAAGAATCCTCAAATCGTTCTCCAAAATGAAGAAAACGAGAGCGGAAATTCTGTATATATAAAGAAATTTGTAAAACTTATTTTGGAATAGAGAAAATATGCATTAATTGTTTGTTTGCATTTTTTTTGGCAAAATTTACAAAGGAGAGTAAATAAAAATTATTACTCTTTATTTTTCAAAATAAATGTTCACATTTCTTTTTATATCTATGTTATATTATAAAACATTTGATAAAAACTCTTTTTTTATACATGAATTACTGTTTATTGATGCATATTACTTAAAATTTAAGATTACAAGTAAATTGTGCATAAATACAACTTATTAAAGCTCCATATTTGAATTCGTGTAACTAACTACAGATAAACATAATCAATTATTTGGATAAACATCTCATTTTAAATATAAAAAATCTAAAATATAATTAGGATAATCATTGAGTTCTAACAGAATACTTAGTTATTATTTTTATAAAAAATTATATTATTAAACCTAAATTAATTTTTTTTTTGTTACTAAACCAAAATTAAATTATAACAAAAAAAGTTGAATTAAGAAAATTACACCAATATATAAGAACTTTTAAAAAGATTAATTTGATACTGATATCGATATATATATTTTCAAAATTTGATGATATTTTAAAATTTATATATTATCCAAAAATAAAATAAAAACATTACCGCTTTCTCAAAATCAAATAAAACCGTATTATATCGACATAAAAAAGAAATAAAACGAAACACTAAAATCAAGATTTGTATCGATACATTACACGAGTACCCTTTTAGCTTGTTTTAAAATAAGTATTCATTTTTAAAAGTAAATAACCAAAAGTATTTAAGAGGTGTGAAAAGAGAAAAAATAAATAAGGGTAAATATATCATTTGCTAACCAAAAAGTGTAATGATTAACATGCCTAAAACCATGTGCCGTTTCAGTTATGAACACTTATTTTTTGAAATGGATGGAGTATTTTATGAAAAAAAAAATTAAAAAATTGAATATTCTAATATTACAATTAATCTTTTTAAGATTTGATTTTTTTGTTTTTCATTTAAAAAATTTATAGAAAAATAATGGGAGATGCTATTAATGTACCCTTTACGTATTAAACACCACAAATTAATCAAAATCATCACCAATTATTTAAACTCCTCACGCTTCTCCAATCCAGAATTTGGTAGAAACTCGATTTCAAAAAAAAATTATAAGAATAAAGAGTCTTATCCGGTAAGTGAGGGTGACGACTCTTACTCGGGTAAGCGCTTACCAGGTAAATTATTGCATAAGATACGTTTTGATGTACCACAATCTTGTCCGATAAAATAAATTATAGTGTTGACTCTTAACGGTAAACGCTTACCGGGTAAGCATTTAGGTAAACGGCCTCTTAATGTGCTAAATATCATTACAATAATAATGTGATTTTTTTTTTTGAAAAATCTATTTAAAATGTTATAAGCATTTGGATACACTTTAGGTGACTTTGAACTCGATTGACCATTTTTGTTTTTAAACTAAACTAGTGTTAGATACCATGCGTTGCACGATGACGATAAATTGCTTTGTTATAAATTATTGGACATAAGTGAAGTGAGCTAGTTGTCCGCATATTATATATTAAATTAATAATAACATTTATTACACTTGATCTTGGTAAAAAAAACCTGATAAAGGAACGTCTGTTCCATTGTTGAGCCTCTGTTTATACTAGAATAAAATTTGATTGTTTACTTAAATGCTTATCCGGTAAACGTTTACCGTAAGGAGTCAACACTATAATTTACTTTATCATGTAAGATTGTAGTTATCAAAACGTATCTTATTGAACAATTTACTTGATAAGTGCTTATCCGGGTAAGAGTCGTCATCCTCACTTACCGGGTAAGATTCTCCATCCTTATTATCGCTTTTACTGGGTAAGATTCTTACCCCTTACCATGTTTATCCGATGAGGAAAATTGCTCAGCAAGTACTTACCGGGTAAGCGTTTACTAAACGGCCCCTGAACTTTCAACTTATTTTGAAATTTAAGGTTGCTTGCACTCCTCTAATTCTATGCAATTTGATCGAAGCAAAATATTACAAGACGTGCAAAGCTGGTAACAATGCTGATCGTTAGGAAGGAAGATAAACGAATAAGTACAAACAGACACTTTTTGAAAAGTCAATTGCAACAGTAGTTTGAATGATTTTGTTCTACCATAAATTGCATGAAATTAAACGTACTTCGTTTTGGTTCTTATTTTAAGAATCTATTTTCAAAACTGCAATTTTGGAGAGCAGCTATGTGTTTGATACAATTAAAGAGACATATTGTCTTTTACGCAATGAAGAAAACGTATTTTAGCTTTATAAACAGAAATATAATGTATTATAGCTTTTCTAAAAATAGTTATTAAGCCCCTTCTGTTTGAGATGTCTTTTTGCTTGTCATAAACACCAAAATGGAGCTTTTCTAAGTCGTTAATGAGAATAGCAACTTGAATAAAGTATGCTACTTTGTCGGGATTGTATTAATTCTACAATATTTTTGACATCTTCAAAAAGAACGAGGTTGTTTATTAGGTTCTACGAGTGAAAACATCGAAAGACAGGTAACAAGGGTAAAAATGTCATTTTTTCAATAATCAGGTGTCTGTTTGGTTTAACTGCGATGATTCTATCGGTTATAACTCTTAATTATTAATATAAAATATATTATCACGATATTTATTATGCTATTGGTTACATAATTATCTTGTCAATTTATAATAACCGAAATGAAATTCATCCATCTACTCTTCAAATATCTTTGTTCATGGTTGTTTAGTCGATGGTTACATGTGTTTTTGTTATTTTGATTATTATATTGAAACTAGGAGCCGTCTACTCAAACACTTATTCGGTAAACGTTTATCCGTGAGAGTCAACATTCTCACTTGCCTTACCGGGTGAGATTCTAGTTCATTAAAATGATATCATATGCAACAATTACCCTCACTTATCGGGTAACTTTCGGTCTTTGCCATCATTCTTACCAGGTAAGCGCTTGCTATGTTCAGGTAAGTGACCGGTAAACGCTTGGTAAAAGACTCCTAAATAAAAAAACTAGAAATTACAATTATCTATAAGCATATATATAGAGAGGAAGATTCAAACGAGAACACTAACTATTTAAGAAAAACAATAAAAAATGTTGTTAATGTACAAAATCACATGTGATTTTACACTAATGTTAAAAAAAAAAAGATGACGACTTTTGAACCTGTATGATTTTGTACGTGAATATATATATATATGTATGTATGTATGTATGTATCATGCATGATTTTGTATGTGAATCATATATGATTTTGTATATTAACGAATTTTTTTTCTCTCAAATAATTAGCGTTCTCATTTGAACCTGCCTATATATATATATATATATATATTTATTTATTTATTTATAGAGAGAGAGAGAGAGGTTCAGGGGATTTTCCTAAAAAAAATAAAAAATTGAGGAACACCCTGGTAACTATTCATCCGGACAGTTATGCACACGTGTATATAAGTAATTGCTGTTTTCCGGGTTTAAGCACATGTGCATATCGAACAAATCACTTCCAAATTACTTGTATACACATGGACATACGGTTTGCCTTAAACCCGACCCTATATATATATATATATATATATATATATATATAAAATATTAATATTTTTTACAAGAAAGATCTCCAAAAAGAAAATCTATGTTATGAAAGATTACTACTATCACTTTTCAAATATTTAACTTATGCATCTACACATTATAACAAGAATTCAAATACATAAAATCCATTCACCGACTGGTTTGGAACCAAGGTTTTGGACTTCTTTGAAATCAATTGACCGAGTGGTTTGAGACCAAGGATTTGAACTCCTTTTACGGACATAAAACCCATCCCACATGTTGTTTTATTTATATGCGGTAGTTTTTTTTTTTTTTTTAATAAATCACAACTCTTAGTATCTTAATGATTTATGTTTAACAATTAATTAATATTATAGTCTTGAAATTTTAAAAAATTACACTATTTTTATAACTATACGGAATAAAAACAGAACAATGAAAACCCATGAACCAAAACTTAGATGTCGTTTATTTAATAAAAAAATGCTAAAATATGAAGTTTTATTTTACTTTTTATTAGTAAGATGTAGTATTAAACAAAATTAATAAGAATTGAAGTTAATAATAAAAAATAAAAAATTACATAAATGCTAAATAATTCTCTTCTGCTTGTTTACACATTCAAAAGTTTAAAAAAAGTATATTTATTTTTGAGAGGAAAAGTCAAATAAGCTTTGCTTTCATTTTAGTCCCTCTACTTTATTGTATTTCCAATTACATAGTGGCAAAGAATATGCTTTGTCTAGATGGTCCAACCGCCTATATCCATTACTATTACGGAGTCCGCCTTTGATTTCCATCAGTTGTCCTCCCATCTTTTGATTCTAACGAATCCAAAATTATAAATCCGAATCCACCTCCGACGTTCCTTCATAATTTCGAAATTTCCGTTTCATAATCACTCGAATCCATGTGAAGAAGCGTCGATCTTTCCAATGTTATTCGTTTGATGGTTAACTTCGCCTGAAGAAGAATTTACAGATCCATTATCTCCATGACGATCCAGCTGAAACAACAACTATTGGCACCAGGTATCCTACTCTCTCTCTCTCTCTCTCCGCCACCAGGTTTTCCCCCCTTTATCTGATTTCAATGGAAAAAGTAAAATCGTACTGGATCGAGATTGCTCTTACTACGTAATGAACTTCGAGGTGGAAATCTAGTTTATAAGGAATAATATCAGTATCGTTGTCCTTTTGTTTATTTTAAGTCCACGATCATAGTCTGCTTTTCATTTTCAGTGATCCAAGATTTATGGGTTTTCCTTTTCGATATTGTCTCAAAATGAATTAGCTGAAAGTTCTTTCCGTTGATTAAGGTATATAGATTTTTTGTTTTATTGATTCTAAGAGAAAATGTCGATAGATTTTACTATTGTAAGTTAAGTCGATTCCATCTAGAATCTTCGCAATCCACGGAAAAAAACGAAAGAATGAAAACTCAGTTTAACCGAAACATCTTGATAAACACGAAATCGGTATTGGCTTTTGTCTTATAACATCGTTCCCATAAACCGGTAATCCTGTTTTATATTAAATCATTACATATATGAACAATATACGGTTTTCATCATGTGAGGCATAGTGATTAGTGCATTATTGCCTCCAAATTTGAAACTTCTTAGCTTTCAAAAGCCAATTGACCTAAAACAAATTTGTTTTTTACATATAAGAATTCTTACCTATATGCACAAAATGTGAATTTAGTGACCAAAGATTTCTGTTTTGGTTTACCCACCTTAGCGTGAAAACTCGCATGATCAAGTGTTTGTCTAAAATTGCTCACTTAAGAAAGGGAAAAGGAATGTAAGGAAGAGTTTGTTTATAATTAGATGGAGTTCCATGAGGAAAGCAAAAAACAGGATTTAACCCCTTTTGTTCAATTAATGGCTACCTTCTTTATCTCCGTTGCCGGTTATAAATGGGTGCAGAAGTAGCAATGGGTGAGACTGAAAAATACAGGCATCTATGTCTGCTACATTCACAATAAATTTGATTGCTTGCTTATTTGAGTGAATATCGAATACAATTATTGTATCACGTTATTTTGTTTGTGTCAAGTGTGATATCGCAAGCCAATAAAATTCAAATGCGGTGACTCCGGGCTATCTGCAAAGCAGGTGGTCGCCCTGGGATTAATCGGCTCGCATAGCGGGTTGGATATCCAGGTTAATAAAAAAAATAAAAAAATTTATGATTAAAGTTTAAAGTACTGATTTAATAGTTTAGTTATTGCCTACTTGCCTATCTTGATGATGTACTATAACAAACCGTATGGATTTTTTAAGAAGGTGATAACCATTCATACACATTCTTTATCGTCGTCACTTGTATGCGAAGTTTCTTCTCATCTTAACTTTTGATATTATACGCTAGTATTCTATTTCATGTATACCGTATACATGATATTCTTGGGTTTGATCACCATTTGCTTTCCGTTTTTATTCGTAGTTATATATTTTACTATAAAAATTTTCCTTAATGATTGCCTGGTTTAAAATAAGATTTGACTTTTTATTATGCATAAAGTGGAGTCTGATTTTATGATGGGAAGAAGTATATTATATAGACGATGATTACAAAGTTGTAAATCTTGGAATTTGTTCACATTTATTTGTGTAGTGTGTACGCACGCCACATTTATTCTATTGTCATCTTGCTCTAGATCGGTGCCTTGAAGGCCCAATTGTTTTCACTAGAAATAATTATGTCTCTTTCTTTAGCTGTTATCCTATCACAATATCAAACACAACCATATGTTTACACATAGATATGAATATATATATATATATATATATATATGTACGTGTATGAACTTCACGTTTATTCATGATAATCATACATGTATGATGTATACTGGTTGGTGATCATTCTTGATGACAGAGGCTCCACCACCAGAAAACAAAAGCATCCGGCAGGAAGATGCAGGTGCAGTTTTCGTGCTTGAATCAAAAGGTGACCACCTGCAATTTTTTTGTTGACTCTAGCAATTGGAATCACAACCCTGATTCTAATTTACACGATCACTGCAAAAAGGTTTGAACTTCTTTTTTGTTGTTGTATGGCTAGGGGAATGGTGGCACGCCGGTTTTCATCTGACTACTGCTATAGTGGGGCCCACCATACTGACGTTACCGTATGCGTTTAGGGGGTTGGGATGGGGTCTTGGATTCTTTTGCCTCACGATCATGGGGGTGGTTACTTTTTACTCTTATTATCTCTTGTCCCTGGTTCTTGAGCACTGTGAGAAAGCTGGTCGGCGCCACATCCGTTTCCGGGAGCTAGCCTCTGATGTCCTGGGTAAGTTTCTTCTCTCTTCCATGTGTGAATGAAATAAGCACCTATGGCTATATACAGAGGATTATAGCACTAATTTTTGCTTGGTGCACACTTTACCCGCATGATCTTGATAAGATAAAGCAAGTATAATTAGTGTTTTGAATGATATATGGATGGGCCACATCTCACGCAATAATACCATTGAAGGGTTGACAATTTTAAAAGTGAAATGGACCCATATGGCCATATAGCACAAAGAGACTCTAGTTGGTAACTGTATTGTTATCAGTTATGCTCACTTTTTTATGCTGTCTGGAGTCTTTTTTTTTATTTTCTTTTTGGCATTTTCTTAAGTTTGTTGGTTGTTTATAAAAGAAGTGCCTAGTGTAATGTGTTTAGATGCGAAGCCGACACCGTAGAAGTGGAGGATACATAAAGATCCTTTGCTAGCATTAATGTATTGTGTTACTCCTAGGAAGCAACTTCCTTTGCTCATGATGTTTCTCCAATACATGCATGTGTGTTATGTTTATGAGTCATTATTTAAATCATGTGTGAATCTATAGTTCTTTCGAAACAGCTGTCCTTTGATGGTTGTAATGGGTGGGCTCTATCAGAAGCTGGAACAACAGCTTATATATAAGTTCAAAACGCCATATTCCCTCAAATTCAGTGCAATGCTTGACTTCACATATGGGTTAATGAGAGTGTTCAACGATCAGTCAAATATCTAAATGTCACTCAATAAGGACAAACTATAGAAGTCTTGGGGACCAAACTCAATGTTAATTATATTTTTCTATGGTTGCTAACTGGTAAACCAGAAAATGTGGATTTTAACCTTGTGTAGAAAAGAAATGTTACATTTATTTTGGGACAACCAGGGAAGGAAATTTGTAATTTGTAATAATAGGGAGGTTTTTTATGATTACTTTGACGTTTTATGTGTTGTTTCTTGTAGGGTCTGGTTGGATGTACTATTTTGTAATTTTTATTCAAACCGCCATTAACACTGGCATAAGCATAGGAGCAATCTTGCTTGCAGGGGAATGCCTTCAGGTATGATACGAATTGAACACAGAAGCATCAAATGTTACTAAAAGAAACTTCGAACTGAACCCTGGTTGTTTGTTTAGATAATGTATTCTAGTGTTTCTCCGGATGGGCCCATTAGACTGTGGCAATTCATAGCGATGGTGACAGTGGTCATGATGGTTCTATCTCAGTTGCCATCATTTCACTCCCTCAGACATGTCAACTTGGCTTCACTTTTCTTGAGCTTGGGCTACACATTCATTGTCGTTGCCGCATGTATCCATGCAGGTATAATGCCTTAATTCACCTGTGTCTGTCATGGTGCCTATCCTAATTCTGCTTTCCTGGTTTTGTGGTATACTAGTTTTAGTTTTTCTTGTTATACTGGTAGTTGTCAGGATTGCGCTTTGTGTTCTGTTGTGTGTTTTAACCTATTTTCCTAACATTTGTCGACATTGTCTCCTCTGTTTAATGTACCCGTGCTTGATTGCAACACACTCTCACCTGTAGCTCGCTCTTTTGTTTCTTTTAATATTTATTTCACAAGCCAGGGGTCTTTACGAAAACCTCCTCTCTACTCTGTGTGGTAGAGGTAAGATCTGCATACATCCAACCCCTCCCAAACCTTATACTAGGTTTGTTTGGTTTTTGTATGGTAGTATGTTTAAGTTATCACTACTATCCTTACAGGTGTAAACTACCATGGGTTTCTTTGCAGGGATATCGAAAAATGCACCCCCAAGAGATTATTCTTTAGAAGATTCAAACTTTTCAATGGTTATGAGTGCCTTCACTTCTATCTCAATTATAGCTGCCATATATGGGAATGGAATTGTCCCTGAGATACAAGTAAGTTCATTTATTTATGTATGTTAGTTGTTTATTTCTGTGATATTATCAGTATATGTAGCGAGGCAAGAAAAAGAACTATGCCATTTGTTTAACTCTTATTTTAGGACAAACTAAAATAAAAATGTGAACACTTATTTGGGAATGAAGGAAATATCAGCTTAAGGAACACTTTTCCTTCCAAATTGAAACCAACGTTTGCTTTGTTCGTTCCACTAGATTGCAGAACTGGTATCAGTTATAAAATTTGGAATATTGGCTGTATGATCTCAGAAGTTGACTTGTGCTTTCTAGATGAATAATTCCTGCGGTAACATAACTTGTTCGTTAAACATACAGGCAACATTGGCTCCACCAGTAACCGGGAAGATGTTCAAAGGGCTTCTGATGTGTTATTCTGTGATTTTCCTTACCTTTTACTCGGCTGCAGTTTCTGGATACTGGGTGTTTGGCAACAAATCTAGCTCAAACATTCTTAAGAGTCTCTTGCCCGATGAGGGACCTGCCTTGGCTCCAACTTGGCTGCTGGGACTTGGAGTTATTTTCGTTCTGCTCCAACTCTTTGCCATTGGCCTGGTATGAGCTTTTCCTTTTCTAAAAAACTGACAAAGCATTTTGCAAACATACTTGAGAGGACAAGGCAAAAGAAAACAACAAATAATCATTCTAGTAGGTGGAAAATAGTCGACCCAAGGCTTCTGTTGGCGAAGTGGAGTGTAAATCAAATCAAATAAACCCAATAGAACACACCCGAAAGTAGACCCTTGGGGTGAGATTTATGCAGACTTGTCCTCTATCTCATAGGGTAACGCCTGGTTTGCGAAAAAGTGAGTGAAAGGGTAAGAAGAATTAAGGGGCCATTTACTAGTAAACGCTTTCCCTGTAAGTGCTTACCAGGTTACTTTACCTTATCGGATGTACTTGACAATGATTGAGAATCTTACTTGTAAGAGCGATGATAAGGCCCGAGAGTCTTACCTGGTAAGTGAGAGTAATGACTCTTACCCAGTAAGCGATTACCAAATAAAAATGTTATATACGATGTCATTTTAATAGACTAAAATCTTAAGTGTTGACTCGCTTACTAGGTAAGCATCGGGTAAACGGCACCTAACACTAGAAAATAATAAGCAGCAGAAAAAGAGCGAGTATGTACTATGAAGCTTAGAAAAGGTAAAGAAAGCACACATCCCTCTATCAATCTTAAGAAATTTGGTAACCTATCTGTCAACTCTAACCCTCCCATAAAACAAAATTTAATTTAAAAAGTAAGATTTCATCAAAAATGACAAGTGGCCTTTTTTAATTTTCTTTGTTTTTTAATGCTGTTACCAAGAAATAAAAAAAGAGCCAAGCGAGTCGAACCTGCAACATGTCATAGTAGGTTGTAACCACTTTTTATTAACTTAGGGAGCACACGTCAATTTATAGCGGATGCACCTTTTAGGACCCCTAAAAGAATTTCCATTGTGTCGGCACAATACCCTCCCCCATCTTCTTGAATCCGCCCGTGTCCACACTTTCTGCGGGTCCCTACCCTAGTCCTAATATGCAACATTGGTCCTACATCTCCAACAACTCCTGTTAATGTCATAATGTTTTTTTCAAGTACATTGGTTGTTCACAAATAAGAAGTTGATTATAATTGTTTGGAATGATTTAGCGTGAGTTCTGAAAGCATCCTGAATGTAATTTGAAACAGGTTTATTCTCAAGTAGCTTACGAGATCATGGAAACAAAATCCGCCGACGTGAACCAAGGGATGTTCTCAAAACGAAACCTAATCCCCAGAATAATTCTGCGGTCACTGTACATGATGTTTTGCGGGTTTTTTGCAGCAATGCTGCCGTTCTTCGGAGACATTAATGGCGTAGTTGGAGCTCTTGGTTTCATTCCGTTGGATTTCATCCTCCCAATGCTTCTCTACAACATGACTTACAAGCCCTCAAGATCTTCATTCACATATTGGATCAACATCATAATCATGGTGGTATTTACAGGTGTTGGGTTGTTGGGCTCCTTTTCTTCGGTAAGAAAGTTGGTTCTTGATGCTAGCAAGTTCAAGCTCTTCAGTGATGATGTCATTGATTGAAGACATTTACAAAGGCAGATGCAAACTGTACAACTGCTACTGCAGAGAAGTGTATATCTTGAACTGTTGCTTGGAAACCCCAATTTGGGGGATCATACAAAATAGACATTTGGTTTTGTTTTTGTGTATAGTTTTGGGGGTTCTTTTTCATGCAGCCAGCAGGTGAGTTAAGCTACTGGGGTTTAGATAAGAATCAACTTCAAAATGAAAGGGTGGTGCATGATTGGTTTGAGCCCGACTCTAAAGGTCAAAAGTACTAGGTCCCAGGTTCAAATCCAAAAAGAATAAAAATCCCCTTGTGGCCATGGAGGTTCAAATGCGGTGACTCCGGGATATCTGTAAAGCAAGTGGTCGTCCTAGGATTAGTCGGCTCGCATAGCGGATTGGATATCCATGTTGATAAAAAAAAAGGTGTTTCAATAGGTCAATGTAATTAGGTCAATGAAATTGGGAATTCAGATTCCTTTAAAATACGGTGGAATCTATGGAATTCAATATTCTTTGCACGGTGTCGCTTATTTTTTGGAGGACATTGGACTAAGTTAAGTGGATCGACGACCTACTTATCAAATATTAAACTAATAAAAACATATACTATATTTTTCTCTTCCGAGACCTGATATACAAATAAGAAGGGAGATTTGTTTTAACATTAAAAGGATATATCCATATATCTCTGACTCAAATTTATGATGTTCGTTGACCCTCTTTTTGTACACATCTTTGGAGCTGTTTGTTTAGCTCTTAATAGTTTTATTGAGAGGCAGCCTTTGAATCTCTAAGAGTTGAATCTTGTTTGCCAAAAAATAGGTATGCCTCTTAATGATCTTAAAACCCTCTGAATGATTTTGTATCTTTGGCCTCTAATTTCATTTTAAACAATTACAAAACAATCATATTTTATTTTATAGTATATCATAAGAGCATATTAATTATTCTGACCACTTAGTTAACATATAATGATTTTATTGGAATATAAGATAGGTCATGGGTTCGATATTGGGCTCCTCCCTGCTAGCCTCATTCTGTGAGTGAACCACAAAAATGTCTTCTCATATTGATGTTCTTGAAGGCAGGTCCCGTGTGAAACTAGCTAAGTTTGTCGGTAATCAACTTTTTGATAGTAAGAGAAAAAAAAAACTTATGAACGAATAACAACGCCTTTTATCTTAATTATGTGTGTTTGAATTTTCATATGAGGTTTATATACCAGATAAATTCATATATGACTATTTATATTTACAGACGGTATTTAAGAAAATTATATATCATGTCGTATTTACAATTAAACCCAACATTTAATTCTAAACGGAGACTTGATGTGTACACGTATCTATTTTGTCAAAAGAAAATTTATGTACGATGTTTGGTGATAGATGAAAGATATCCGACTCAAATTGAATGTTTAACCAACGTTTATGTGTTTCTCCCAATTTCAACGGTCCTAATCATGCTAAACTTATGTCTTCGGATTTTCATGTAAGTAATTAGTTCGTAGAAATTGTCACTATGCTAATAAATATTTTAAGTATATTATAAGGTATTTACCTCATGTTTTTATATACTAGAAGGGTGCTCATATAATATAGTGATATATATTTCAATTTTAATGTTTCGTTTTCTTATTTATTTATGTCGATATAATACGGTATTTAGTGGTTTTGAGAAAGCGAAAAATGTTTTTATTTTTGAATAAAATATAAATTTAAAGATATTATAAAAATTTAGAAAAAGAATATATATCGATATTAGTATCAAATTTACTTAAAGTTCTTGTTTTCTGTGTAATTTCTTTAATTCAATATTTTATTTGTAATTTAATTTAGACGTAATCAATCTATTTATCGTTTAATAATATAATTTTTTATAAAGATAATAATTAAATATTTTGCTATAATAGTGATTATCTTAATTATATTTTCGATTTTTTATATTCAAAATGAGATGTTTATCTCGTATTTGATTATGTTTATCTATATTTAGTTACACAAATTCAAAAATGAAGCTTTAATAAGTTGTACTTCGCCACAATTTACTTGTGATCTTAAATTTTAAGTAGTATGCATTAATAAACAGTACTTTATATATAAAAAATGATTTTTAATAGTTTTTATCCAATGCTTTATAATATAGTATACATATCTCTTAGAAATTTATATCTGCAACTTATTTTGGATAAGTATAATTTATTAAAGTTTAACCTTTGAATTTCAAGCCGACAGATAACTAACTGATAAATACATTCAAATACATGATAAACATTGACATTACCAATAAATCATATCCTTATTTTTAAATCTAAAATACTTAAATTACATTAAATTTTGAATTGAACAACGTATCGAAAAATATATATTTTTTATAATATTTAATTTGACATCCATAATTATGTAAAATTTTCGAGGGGTTTTTTCTTCATCAAATTAGCAAGTCGTCTTCAACCATAATTTATAACTTTTATTTTTATTAAACATAAATATTAGGTTTTCCATTTTAACAACAACTTGGATTAATATTTAAATCATTATATAGAGTTGGGTTCACATAAGATTAGTCTGTTTTCATTAGACCCGTGAGACAATATTTTTATATTTGAAATTTTACAGCAAAACATTGTGAATATAAAAAATCTGAACTTTCACATTTCACAGTGTTTTACAGTGAAGTTTCAAATGTAAAAAAAATGGTCTTACGTGTCTCATGAAAACAATCTGGTCTCATATGATTTTATATTGGAAAGAATAATAATAATTAATGGTGTGTTTCGAGTAGGAAGGATTATAAGATAATAAGGGTCGTTACGTGCCAAATTGTTGACCTTCATTCTCTTTTATTTATTCATAATAAACCATAAAATAAACAACCCAAAGTCAAATTAAAACGTGATGACGTTTTAAAATAATAAATATTTATTTTATAAGTTATCTATATTATATTGTAAAGTATTTGAAAAAAATTATTAAAAACTATTTTTTATGTATGAAATAATATTTATTAATATATGTTACTTAAAATTCAAGATTATAAGTAATTATGTGTAAGTACAACTTATTAAAGGTTCATGTTTGAATTTGTGTAAATAACTATAGATAAACATTCAAATACAAAATAAACATCTTATTTTAAATATAAAAAATCTAAAAAAATTAATTATGAAAATTATTAAGTTTTAACAAAATACTTAATTACTATCTTTATAAAAAGTTATATTGTTAAATTAAAAATAAAATATTTCATCATTAAACTTAGATTAAATTATAATAAATAATTGAATTTAAAGAAATTACACAAAAAAACGAGAACTTTTAAATAGTTCATTTGATACTAATATCGATATAATTTTTTCAAAATTTTTTTATCTTCAAATTTATATTTTATTAAAAAATAAAAACGGTATTGTTTTGTCAAAACCACATAAAACTATTATATCGACAAAGACTAAGAATAAAATGAAACATTAAAATCGAGATGTATTTCGCTGCATTACGTTAATACCCTTTTTGTTATGCTATAAAACATTTCTATAAAACTCTTCAAAATCATTTTTAAAGAATCAGATACTATTCAATGATTCATATTACTAAAAATTCAAGATTACAAGTAAATAATGCATGAGTACAATTTTTTAAAATTATATGTTTGAATTCATATAACTAACTGATAAATATAATTAAATAAAGAACATACATATCATTTTAAAGGGAAAAAATGCATCAAAATGGAACCAACTTTCACCTAATTCCTATTTTGGGGAACCAACTTTTAAAATCATCATTTTGGGGAACCAACGTGCAAAATAATATAGAAAAATAAATTAAAATTCGTTTTCTTCCAAAAATTAATGCAGTAAAATCTAACTTTCATTTCAAATCCCCTTTTTTTTAAATTCAAATATCAAATTGAACATTTTATAAAAAAAATCCAAATTACCACAATAWAAATTGTTTTTTACTAATGCAAAAAAAAAAAAAATCAATTCAATAGAAAAAATTAATTGATGCAATAAAAAATAAATATTAAATGTCACATTCATGATTTTTATATCTAACCAATTGCATCAATTAACTTTTTTTCTATTCAAAATAAAAACATTATAGTTTTTCTCAAAACCATACAAAATTGTATTATAAAGTGAAACATTAAAATAGATATGTATCTCGCTGCATTGTGCGAGTACGCTTATAGTATATCTAAAACGCGCTATCGTTAATCGTATAAGACATTTAAGAAAACTTAAGGTGTAACATTTTTGTAATGAATTAATATGTGTACCAACTCTACTATAATTTGGTATCAATTACAATTCGTTTAATAGTATTGTATCAAGTCGGTTGGTACACGTTATCAAAAGTTGCGTATCATGGTAGTGTCGTGATATCGACTTAAATGAACTCTCATCATTTCCATAATTAATGAACCTTATTCATCTCGTTTGTTTATATTCGTTTATGTTCATAGGTTTATCGTTGTTTAACATCTTATCGAACAAACATAAATTTTTAATGAATGAATATGAACACAGAAAATTCCGTCCGTTTACCATTCGTATTTATTCGTATGTTGGATTAATTTAAACGAACAACACAAAGAAGTCTATATACTTGTTAAATAAATAAATAAAAATAGAATAATATTATAAAAGTTTTTAGTAAATGCATGGTGATTGGTTGCCATAAAATTTTCTATTTATATGCTTAAAAAAAGGAAAAGTACAATAAAAACCAATGAATTTTTTTGTTTGAAATGATTAAGTCCTTAAACTTTTTTTTGGAACAAATAAGTTCTTGGAAATTCCAAAACATGTTAAATAAGTCCTTGGACAATTTTTTGGAACAAATAAGTCCTTGGACATTCCAAAACATGTTAAATAAGTCCTTGGACAATTTTTTGGAACAAATAAGTCCTTGGATATTCCAAAATATGTTAAATAAGTCATTGGACAATTTTTGGAACAAATAAGTYCTTGRACAWTCCAAAACATGTTAAATAACTTCTTGAACTTTTATAAAACATGTTAGATACATTCTTATGACTTGTACAACTAGTTAAAGTGGTAAAATAGTGAAAAAAAATCCGGAAAAAACTCCAATGAACATTCATATTTTGAACGATAAAGTGGT